TGCAACCGTCGGACGAACTGCCTTCGCGAGACGAAATCCGATTGGCGGACAGCCAACGCGAGAGGGAGCAGCGCGCACGAGAAGAAGAGCGGCTCATGGAAATGGCCAACGAGGAGGCGCAGGCGCAGTTGCAACGTCTCGTGTTAATGATACAAGAGGGCGCACGAGACCAGGCCGAGAACGAATCATCAGAGGGCAGCACCATCGACCAGACGGACCTTTTCTGGACGGACCGGGAGATTTGAATGGCCCAGAAAGACTCGAAAACAATAATGCCACAAATGCAAAAGAATAAAATTTTTTAGGTATAAGGAAATTAGAAATATAAGTTAGGATAAGGCGACATAATCAGGAATAAGCAATATAAAATTATTATGAATTAATGGCTATGAGTAATTTTTTGGTTTAGTTTTCGTTTGTTTTATTTTTTTTTTGTATTATTATTATTATGGATGTTATTAATAAATATTAGGAATACATTTGAATAAAATAAGGACCGTAATACAAATTAATTGTTTAGTTCGACTTAATAAAGGCGAACATATAAAAAATGAGAAGAACAAAAAAGAAACCTCAGAAGAAAGCGCACACAATACAAAATGAGCGAATACACGATTCCAGGAGAAAAAGATAATTAAAAAACTAATATAAAACAACTTAATTTTAGAAAAAAGAATATATATTCACAGATCCGCAAAACGGAAAGACGAATCTTCTGGAATGGTGTAGAAAGAGCGAGATAGAATCTTCTCGAAACCTCGATGATCCAATTTTAAAAAATTAAGGAATAACACAGGTGCAAACATGATGGGAAAAGCGCTAGAAAATGGAAACCGGAAGAAAAATTTTTTAAGGATGAAGCAATAAAAAAATTGATCACGAGGATTCCAGAAGGATCGAGGGCCCGCTATAGGGGAGAGGGAAACCGCTATATAAGAGCGCGGGTTGAACCAAGAGAGGTCGTCAGATAACGAACGGTCGAGCGATTAAATATAAGGAAAACTCGCGAAATCGCAGAAAAATCGATCGCGGCGATAAGTACTCGGGATTTACCACCTCGTATACGCCGAGTAACAATTTGATCAATGTGTCAATACAATAGAGGGTAAAATAAAAGAGTTGCCAAGACAAGTGTAACTATTGTAAAAAGTTTGTGTAATAAAACAGTGTTGAAATGTTAATATTCCGTGTGAGTTAATTAACAAAACATTGGAACCAAACTGCACAAGCAAGCACCATCGGAAATTGCGAACGGCTCGACATCGGAAGCTGATTGGTGAAGCAGCTAGGGTGACTAGATTACATCACAGCTGATTGGCGGTGCTTCTGTGCATTACAAAAGCATCCAGAAATACAATCCCGGATTGGCGAAAACCCTTTGAGCAGCATCCAAGCGGTGTGCGGGTATTTAGGAGAGCGCAATAATAAGGTAAAAGAAGGCGACCAAAAAGAAAAAGGTAAGCAATTAAATTCTAAAACTTTCAAATCAAACAAGAAGGGAAAGAAAAGGTCTCGAAGGAAATAATCCAGGTGATAAAGTCAGTATCGAAATAGCGATAGTGTCAATCAGGATCCAAAGAGACGGCATCGAATCCGTAAAACTTATTAAAAACTCTACGTAAGTATTAAATTAAATTACTGCGTGGAGTACAGACAATCTTGTCGGTAGTGCA